TAAAACTGATAACATTTAATGAAAATGATTTATGTATGTTATGAAATGTATATGCACACACATTTAAAGGAAATGTCTTGTTCATTGCACATTTTTGTGTCATTTTATAGAGAAAACAATGATGTAAATTGATTGGCCAGGTGCTTGGCTTGTCGGAAACATTTTATGAGTCACTATCATTGTTTTCGATAATATAATCAATTCATATTCGATTTAAAAATATGGTGATGACAGGATATCAAACTCTAACTATATTTATACGAAAATTGTTTAAAATGTATAAAGCATGTCATGTCTTAATTTGGACAAATCTTACATCCATATTCTAATATATAGTAATGCACTAGTTCCATATATAAAAGCTATCTTTTTGCATCTTCCATTGCATAATGATATGAAGAGAAATAGCTGCAAAATCATAAATAAAGTAAATTCCTATCCTAAACAAAATATTCAGGTGTTGTGAAATGTTATTTTTCATTTACGTTAAATTGATGCCAAACAGGTGCTGTTGCTCATGATAAGATACAGTCAAACTGTCTAATTGTTGATATATTCAGGACACTATTTAAAATGGAAAAACAGTCATTTTATGTTTTGTCTAAAGAGTGTTAATTCTGAAAAAGAAGCCGAGACCTTTCACACAATTAATGGAAATTAGGTGAGATATATACTAATCAGAATACCAATGTCGTCACTTTCCGACGTCGCAAAATGCATAAAACAAGCAATGACGCCAACTAAAATGTTGTATTATTTTCAGCAATTTCAATACATTTGAAGATATGGCTAGTATTCTGGTAATAACGATGCAAAATTAGTCAAAATACATCTACACAAACAGGAGAATATGGGAATCTAAGAACTAACTTTACATATCGGATAGGGCCATCCAAATCGCTATTACGTGCTTTCACATGTAGTATGCGTAGTCATCTTTTCTTATAAATTGTGAAACTACCACAGCGTATCCGCTCACATTGGGGACCTTTGAATTGGAATAGTTTGGTTCACCGTGAACAAAAATAACGAAAATATAGCGTCCAGATCCACCACAAATACTCTCCATGTGATTAGAGATACATTGACCTTGTGTTAAGAATAACGGAGTTATGCCCCTTATCATTATAATGCGGTATGACCTCTCTGTCGCCGTTTGATGTCGAGAAGAAAATCCATTTTTGACATTTATTATGTAGTCATTTTAATGTTGAGCATATAATGTTATGCATAAGCACATAAATCCAATTCATATACACTTATGTCGCTCAGATATCAGGCTGTATTTTCTTCGCTCACACTTTCCGTAAAGATGCCAAAATAAAAAATTAGAGTAGCACAGTGCTTTTATGGGTGCGCCGATAAAAAGCGGAGAAATTTACTGTTTTTTAACGCATAACAAAAATTTGGACAACATTTAGCAAGGTCTATTTTTCAAACCGCCGAGGTAGTTGCACTTATATTTATACCAACGGATAGGAAATTTAATATTCTACATTTCTGTGTAATTTTATAGCCGTACGTAGATCCAGGACCACGTGAGCGCAATTCTCACACAACGTTCACTTTTCAAACCATATGAAAATGTGCGCCTGGAAAAAAACTTGGCATCAAGGGGGTTAAATCGAGCCCTTACATTTGACATTCAGTGGGCAGAGCTATAAAGAAAAGTGAGAGAGTCTGGTTTGACTTTCTACAGTGTTCCCTTCATATCAAGGCCTGAGGTGCTACAACTTTCAACTATTTACTACTTCAGCAACCCAAGAGCATGGAGATGGCGCTGACAAACCTGGAAACATACTCATGTAAACCTGGATTGGAACCTATTATCATAGGTTTTAGTAGGCCCAAGAGGTGCAACTCTAGACTATGAAGGAAAGTGGGTTTTGTTAAGTATTTCTGAAGGCCAAAATTTCATGTTCACAATCAAAGTTCACTTTCTGGCCTTAGAATTGAAAATAAGTTCATCAGGATGACTAAAGCTCTAACGGAAACAAACTGACCATGACTTAAACTAACTAAGCCTTGAGGGCTTTCTTCTGCTGATCAACAGGACTTCCACATTATTTGTCAACAACAATCTGCATTTCTTTTATTTCAATTACGTAGGGGTTAGAGTGGCTAACAATATGCCATCTGTTCCCTTAAAGAAATTAGAAAAATGGATGGATGACAATATTTCATTCACAAAAAGTGACATACACAAAAGAAATATAAAGTTCATTTCATTATCTGCATGTTACTACACGTCAGTTTTCTATTTGTGAGGTGAAGTGAAATGGGGTTTAACGTCGCACTTAAGAATATTTGATCATATGACGATGTGCATGCATGTGTATTTGTAGCTGCTTGTACTTGTCCAAAAGCTGGTTTTATAGTGCTAGCTCACTGAGATACCATGCTGCAGTCAAGCATGAATACCCTACTCAGACACATTATACTGACTCCGAGCCGACCAGTCCTTGTTGTACCCATTAATGCTGAGCGCCAGACAGGGACCAACGAGTACCATATTTTAATGTCTTTTGGTATGATGCTGCCGGGGATCGAACCTGTGACCTTCTGCTCTCCAGGCGGATGCTCTAAGTTCTAACCATTACACCATGGAGGCAGTTTCCTATTTGTAACATTTTACTTCTTTCAATTAAACATGCACTTTAACTTCAACCTTGGGAATCAGTGGTAATAAAATATGAAATCAATAATAACGTTTTAATTTTCTAAACAACATTTTAACAGGTATCTCAACAGTAACACAGCTAATGTAATAAATAGTATATCACTCCAAAAAGTATCAGTGAAAACTTAAAAAATGATTGATTAAATAAATAGCATCAATTCAAATTACACATCACTATTCAGTGAAATTAGTAGTATTACTATAGAGTAGTTGCCATTTAAATATACAAAAGTTGTGTTCTACTTTGACTTGGAAAACTTGTTAAATGAATTCACTGTGTCATTCTCATATGTTTCTGCATTAAGCAGATTAAACCTGCAGTGTCTTGTGTAAAAGTGATAATGGAGTGCAAGAACACTTTTCTTCTATCTCATCAGCTAACCACATGCTCTGCTTACAAGTCCTCTTCAACAACTTTCACTCAAGAGCTATCTCGATTCCACGGAAACCTGAGTCCACCCAACCCTATATCAATCACTGTGGGATAGTTCTGATGACAATGTAGGCGATTTGTTGTATTGTTGGAATGCAAAGCTTAGAAACAATTCACAAAGTTCTTAGTCTGCCTATCAATATAGCTCATAGAAATCAATAATCGCCAACTAAATATTGATCAATTATCACTTAATATCGGTGGAGAAAATTTGAGCAAGCTTGCCAAAATAGGTCTAAAAGAAATCAAGATATTTCAAATCATTGGTGAGTGGTGATACATTTATTCATGGTATACCAACAAAAATAGCATCCTGAACATACTTTAGAAGCAGCCTTTGAAAATAGACAAAACCATGTGCATAATCTGAAATATCCTTGTGTATTCGGTTTTCGGTCATGTAAGGATTGTCGACCAACGTAACATTAAGTGCATAAATAAATCGATAATAAACAATCCTACCTCGTTTGTTTGTTATTTATTTATGATATTCAAATATCTGACGGATTAACCTCGTGTTTCACCCGCATAGCAGGCCTCGTAGTTCGCTACGCAAAGATCCTGAATGCGGAAGTGACGTCATCTGTTTTCGTTCACTTCATTGGTTCTCCGTAAAACACAAATCTAATAGCAGTATTCGTGCTATGCTGATATTTTATAATATAAAGTTAATAAACATCCAGTCCAAAAGAATATTTGTAATAGTTCCAATAATAATTATTAGAAACTATGGTCGTAATAATTTCATGTCAAAGTTTATCATGATGAGACTTCGCTAGTTACATCACATGTCCAGGCAGTTTTCACTCCTCCGGTTCGCTGACAAGGGCACCAAAACTCATCAGAAGATCTCACTACACATGCGAGGAGGTGCATTAGTTTGAGGTGGACCCAATGACAGCATGCAGGATGAGTACACTGGGCCCATGACACAGAAATATATTAATTGCAGTTTCGAAAATTAAATGAGTATTTTGAAAAATCGTAATAAGAGATGACCCTATCCAGTTTCCATATATTTTTTTTACGACGGCAACGCCAATGCAATATGTCACGGGATAATAATACGTCATACTATAAACAAGCAGACGACGCTATACTGAAAAGGTGGAGCTGACGATCTTTTAGATATGGCATTTTGATTACATGAAAATTTATGCATTAGTAAACTCAGTTCTAAAACGTAACATTTACGTGTGTTTGCAATCATGTACCTTACTAAATTTCACACGAAGCATTTTGTTAGTCAGAGCTGAAGCAGTCGACATCCTGCTAAAAATAACCTGTCTGGTGACGTAAAATCTCGCTAATAACCGCGAGAAATGAACACGCAAACGGCCGACCGAAAACAGATGATGAACGAAAACAGATGACTCGAGGATAGTTTAACTTTTTTCATCTCAGTAGTTTGATCGACATTGTCGATGACACAATTTCCATATCAATAATCAATAATCATTGATGATTCAAAGCATTGACGATATTTCTGATTATCGATCTTATGTGCCAACCCTACAATGTTCACACACTAAGTTATAAGTGTCTTCTGAAAACTTTGCCATAAATAATAATGTCGAAAAGATAGTCGTTAATCGCCTCTTTCTTATATATATGAGAAGAAAGTATATTGAGGTTCGGTATACTTTAGTTGGAATACAGAACAAAAGAATATGAAGTTCTTCTTCTTCCATAATCCATACTTATGACAAAATGCTTGTAATGAAACAACCAACACATGAGCAAAAAACATTTGTAGATAAGCGATGACAATATAACCTTCATGACTTAGAGCAGGAACACATACGAAAGTTATTTGTCATGCAATATCTAAGTCGGCTACAAAAAGAATCTTGGAACTAAATATAATGCAAGTGTGTCCATTCTGACCTAAAATTCGAAACTCCTTGTCTAATCAAGGGTGACATGGTCACCCTTGCCAGCCTACAAACACCCGCCATCTTGCTTGTTTTCACCTTTCACTCGGCAATTTCCGGTGCTACGGTGATTTTTTTTCGGATGAAATCACATATACTGATTCAACCATTGCACAAAATATTTTATTATATATTTCCCATGAATTCATTAATAGTTATATGTCAATATATCATATGATAATAGTCCCTAGTTTGACATTATTATTAGAACTATGCTTCGAGATTATCACTTAGCAACTTCGCCATATTGTTGACTAATGGCTGCTGTACTCTGAGTTGAGTGTTGCTGCTGAGGAATTGGGCTATATATGTTTTACTTTTAGCACTTAAAGAAGGATTACCAGGAAAAACCAAGATGACTGTCAGCTTGGAAGAATACTTTCGGACGACATTTGAGGACAAGCTCCTCGTGTAAGTTTTTCAGATGACATAAAAAGGATGAAACGTTGTTTATATCGGAGTGCAGAAGCAGATAACACACATCACTTGAACATGTAGCTCTTTTCAGATGTGGCATTTTATAATAGGACACAATGAATGTTACGCATGTGTCACCATGCTGATATAGCCCCAAAGTAATACTGATTATGGGTAACTTCTCTCTTTCCAAACTGCGTAAATATCACAATACAATTTGTATTGTGGCCTACCTTGAGAGTGCAGTACCACAAACAATATTCTATGACATTATTTGTGATATTTTATTACCAGATACACTAGCAAAACAATACCCTGTGATGTCAGCTGGCACTGAGTGTGCATAAGCTTCTCTTGGTGATCGATTATAGCTAGATGTCATGTCATAGAATAATACATAACTTTGCAGTAAGTTTAGCAGTATGGACATAGCTAAGCCAGTGTGCTGTTGAGTGCTAAAAATAGCACTGCATCTCAGTCTCTGTGATAAACATTCAGTCTTTTGATTTGGGGTTAATAAACAATGAGGTTTGCATTCAAATATTGAAAAGTATTTCAGTGAGATTATTTAAAATTTTGAACATATTTAACCACTTGGAAAATATTTGTCATAGTTTAATCTTGACCATGTTTTCACAAGACAAGTGTTGATATTGTAAAACATTCTCTAGTTGGACTATCAACATGTGCAACGGTTATGGCCCGGGAAAGCTAAACCTGAACAAAAACTCCTCAAAACATAATATGTAACTTTCATGGGACTGGTCACGCTGCAGTGAACACTGGATTTAGCTCTTCCGGCACTCAGAATACACAAGAAAAACAAAGAAATTTGTGTACCGTAGTGACAGTAAAAATTAAAAGCATTTAACAAATGTATACCAATAAATAAGTTGTTAAGCAACAGATTCTCAGTGTTCATTTCTTTAATTATTGGGGGATCACAATGATTGTCTTTTTGATTGATTGACTGCCTGCCTGTGGATTACTGCAGCTGAATGAGATCAGCAACATGACCCATGTTGTCCACAACTTCTCTTACACCGAAACTTGTATTGATCATAGAATACATGCTGGCCACCTCTCACTGACTTAATAAACGTAACTCTCACCTGTGCGTTCACCATTTTGATAATGATAATCACCGAGCACCCTTATATAGCATCTTTAAACTCATAGATTTATATTTTACATAAGCTTATTTTCTTTTATCTATTCTAATATAATTTCCTTAATTTTACATTTTTTGTAGCTTCATTTCTTTTACCTGTTGTAATATAATTATAGCGTCATGCACTTCTCTTGGTGTTTATACAATTCTAAGAAACAAGTGAACAGGATTCACTAATCTAAGGTATAATGGTAATGTATGTAATATATGGTTAAGAAACAACACTGACTACTCACTACTCACTACTCTGCACGCTAATCTAGAGTACGGTAATCCAATGTTTTCTTAGCAATTACTCATTTTTAGCTTTCATGGGACTTCCTGCCACAACCTGACTTTTAGTTCTCCCAGGAATAGGGAAAATTGAAATTTATCTTTCCGGGCTGACACCTGTGCAACAGTCCACTCGATTTCCAATGTAGGATTGACGTGCCACAAAGGTGGAAACTGGACTTTTATGAAGGCTAATAGATACTTTCCTTCCGCATTATCCTGACACACCCTCGTAAACTGAAACACTTTCCAGAGTGAAGTTAACCCAAACACACTCCCTCACAATGCCATCTTTCATGAATCTACAGCCAATGATGGAGAGAACTCACTTTAGAAGTCACTTTCTGGTATTGAGAAAGCCAAGGGCAAGAGGTTTTCATTGTGTAAAGGGAAGAAGTCGTCCAAATTTCACAAACCAAAGGATAAGTCAAGAGAGCAATCCGGCAGAGGTTGAGCTGCCACAGATTTTCGTTTTCACCACAGAAGGTCAGGTTGAAGGACTTGAAGATTCCATTCCCAGTCATTCAAGTACAGCCATCAACTTTGGATGAAACACTTTGGCGAAAATTGCGAGATTCTATAAGACCCATATATATCAGAGATTTTCAGGAGGGGTTTCAATCCACTATCAAGGGAGGATCCGTGGCTTAACAGTAGATCCTCCAAAGACAGCATACTCAGAGATTCTTCAACCAAAGATATCAGAAGCTATGAACTCACTTCTAGTCAAAGAAAGGGTAGAAATCATTCAACCAGAAGACTTAACTCCAGGGTTGTATTCTCCAGTCTTCCTGAGTTCAAAAGTAGGTTTCAAGTGAAAACGTTTGGCTGATTTACAATATGATGGAATTCAACAAGAACTATCGTCAAACATCCGGAGAAGTTCAAGATGCTCCATCTTCCATTGTTGAGACATCAGATAAGACCAAACAATAATCTTGCTAGCATCAATTTTCAAGATATGTATCCAAAAATCCAGGTTTTAATACTGGCACGCTTCACTCTATCTGAGATTAAGATGAGATTTCATAGCAAGGAATCAGCTTCCAGTACAACCTGATAGATTGTTTCACACCCCAGCTCTGACATCGATAATACTAGGATCAGAAAATACAGAAGATTTATCACTTTGTCCAGTCAGAGCTCTTCGCAGAGCCTATAAGCCTACAAGGTTGATAGATCCACCTATGGCATCAAATCCACAGAGTTAAAGCCATATCATCTATCTAATCCAACATGGAAGGATGTTTCTGGAAGTCTTTGCCTACCATTATCTTAGAGATTTCACTACTGAAGATGTTGCTGGTATTCATAAATTTGTTACACAACAATTGATAGTTCCCTAAAGGAAACAAATCTTGATGTTATCACTATTCTTGGGGAACATAACACAGAATGTTTCCGCTATATCTCAGGTCAAGGGAGAGGAATGCAAATAGTATGAGTCAGGATAAAAGCATAAAATAATATTTCTTTCTCTAAAATACAGTCAGACCTCGTATATCCGAACTTCAGATATCCGAATACCTCGGTTTCCGAACATTCTTCACAAAAAACAAAATTTTCTAGTTACAATTTACCTCGTATATCCGAATGTTCGGTTTCCGTATCCGAACGGTCAATTTTGGTAACGAAACAGCAAAATATGTACAAATTTGTACCAAGGCTGTCATCGGCAAGATGTCTGATGTTTACCACTCCTCAACAGTGCTCACTGCATTGACCTTTGATCAATCCTATATCAAGCAGTAAAAGATGTTCCTGATGTCATTTCTGAAATGGATGTTAGACCGTGTCAATACGATCCGATTTTACATCTTGCAAGACAATCTTCCACTGAAGATGAAGAACAAGAATCAAGCGAAACGGAGGCACCGCTTTGAGGTCAAAATAAATTTAAAAATAGACCATATGATTTAACAAGATTACTATTTGTCCGCAAAATGTCATACAGTTCCAGCCAGCAAACTCACCCCTATAAATATATGACCAGTCAATAAGAATTATTTTAAAAAAAATGTCATTACAGTTCATTTTGTGTCAAATAGGTGTCTGTAGGGTGTCTGGGATTTAAAAACAAAATAATTATGCTTCAGACGAGGGAAAATAAAAATTATCTGCTTCAAAAATTACACTGGAATTATTTTGTTGAAAAAAATTAGGATCCTAGTTCTAATTAATAACGTATCAAGTCTCGATACAAGATCCCAGCCTGGTCGAACAGAGATAATATTCGCGACGCAGGTAAGTTATTCCCCGAAAACTGGTGAATTATAAAATACTAGTCAGGACAACGTATGTTTCCCCATTGTTTGGTTATGGAAATAGTTATGGTACTCGGTCATAGCCTTAGAATGACATCCTGTCAGCCAATGAGAATACAGAACAACTTTCACGGCACACACTACTGACAAATAGCGAGTCTGATGCCGACGTGCGTAATTGGACAAAATGGAACACAATGAAAGCAACAAGTACTTCATGGTTTGCCGTTTATTTGGCAATGTTTCGAGTTGACTGCATCATTTAGGGCTCCAAACCGAAAAGAACGTTATAGCGAAACATTTTCAAGCTCATGTGAAATATCTTACTGATTTTCATAATATATATCGCATGTGTACCAGTCGAATTGCCCCAGCTACAAAATGCCCCAGCAAATTTGGTCATTCATTCTAATTTGGTCAAATTTATTTATAATGATTGACTATATGCCGTAAATGCATAGTTTTTGTCAATTTATTATGATATTATGTTCTTCATATAAAACTTATTAGGAAGTAATATTTCTGATAAATGTTTCATTAGTAAACTCAAACTATGTATATTCTTTTATATGAAGAACATAATATCAAAGTTGACAAAACTATGCATTTATGGCCTATATTTATTCATTTTAAATAAAATGGGGCATTTTGACTACCCCACTTGGGCAATTTGACCAAATTTGCTGGGTCATTTTTGTAGCGGGGGCAATTCGACTGGCAATCGGACTTGATTTAATTTATGTTAAAAATACTACTGACAGTAAGTTGTTACAGGGAATGATGGAGTATAATTAATGAATCTCGTGGATACTTTTTCCTTCTTCAGCCTAGCTTAAGGATTTCCATACCCCATGCGTGCATGTCTCTTTCATATGCGTCCGATTCGGAATGATCGGCACATTTCTCCTGTCGAAATTAGTCATTTCACTTGGAAAACAGAAGAAGTGGTGGTTCTTTCCCATGTTCGATGATGCCGTGCATCCCCAGGGAACGCAATACACAATCGTACCATTTAAAAAAACGACAGAAACAACACGATTTGTACTACTGTAGCGATTGGTCTTTGGCAATATGGCGGACTCCAGGCACATTTGACGTCACCCATCAAATTATTGCAATTCTCTCGTATTCTCCTTTACAGGTCACATGCAACGTAAAACACAACTTTGCAGATTCTGATACCTTTCGGTATGGCCTTACCGAAACAAATCATCAAAATGCAAATTCAACTTATAAAGTTGAAAAATAACGCGATGAAAAAAAAATGTGCGAAATCGGAGTTCAAACGAATCACTAAATATTCCCCCAACGCTTGGGGGGAAAAGTGGTTTCAACAGCTGGGCTGCGCTCATAGCACATGCGCAGTGAAATAGTTTCACGCAGCTTGGAAGCGGGTTGTCCGGTGAATACTCAGTGAAGGCTTTGGTATGAGCTATTTTTCTAATGTTTTGTTGATATTTCACAGGCGCGGGCTTTTTATATGTTATGACAGTAGATTACCGATATTTAACTGTATATATAATTTCATTTGTCTATTTCACCACACGTTCTTCTTACCGATTTACTTTCTCAGTTCGATACTTGAAAGCAATGTCATTATTTAGCGTTGACAGAATTTCTAACTGTGATATAGATATGTCTGTTTTATTGACACCTATGTGTCTGCCTGCCTGTCTGCTAATGACAATATTCAATACACAACTTCGATCACTGACCACATGCAATTTGAACTTAACACCAATCAGGCTATACACCATAAACAAAAAACGCATTGATTTATGGCCCGAGTTCTGTCTCTGTCACATTATGTAATTACACAGACAGGCAGGTGTGATACCTTGAACACATGACATGTTATGATGTCTGTTGATTGCAAAATGTTATACACAAAAAATGAGCATGTATTTACAAAACCCAACATCTCTATATATACACACACAATGAGCTGTGAGGGCATCTGCAAATGAACCAGCCGTTACACTTGAGTGCACACCCACCCACTCTGACTGGGTTCGGTATCCCGGCTGTTTCGTTTCTAGGGAAGTAAACCCAAGTGAAAACTATGGCACTTTTGATTTGCGATTGTACGCTTATGATTTTGTTTATATGTTTTTTCATAATAATGTGTCATGAATAAGTGATAATTGTGTTTTAATTATGTTTGATTTTTTGGTTGCATGTGACCTTTAAATTATAGCCATGAAAGTCCAGTTTGCCCTGTCAGTTGTCACAGGGAACAGCCTGTCAGGCCTAGAATAGCAGTAATTTTAGGTAAATAGTAGAAGGTACCACAATGACAATCCACCAGTGTATCATTACAGTTTCGTATATCATTATTACAAGGATCTATACATGTTATAATGTTAGAAACATATAAGTAAAAGTACATAAACATGAAAGTATTGAAGCATTTCCGAAGACATTCTGATGACAGTTTCAAGTCTGTGAAGTATGTAACATACCTTTGAGAAACCTGTTTTGCATGCTTAAGGTGTCAAGTAGTTGTGAATGTTTTATGTCTGTGTATACAGAAAGATGCCGGAACGGGAGGATGACCACCTGACTCCTGCTACACGGCTCCTGGAGAAACGCAGGGAGATGGCGGAGGTGGAGCAGGCTCTGGCAGCTCAAAAGGAGGTCAGTCGGGGAGAAGAGCATATTTTATTGACTTTAATACACATGGAGTGAGTGAGTGAGTGAGTATGGTTTTACGCCTCATTTACCAATATTCCAACAATATCAAGGCCAGGGACACCAGAAATGGGCTTTACACATTGTACCCATGTGGGGAATCGAACCTGGGTCTTCAGTGAGACGAGTGGACGCTTTAACAACTAGGCTACCCCACCTCCCCTTATACACATGGAAAAAGGTATCGCAACACATGATTTTTAACTCCAATATAGCCATTTATATTCATATCATAATTATGTTTGTATGAATATTTTGACCCTTCAGACATTTTAGATATGCACATGCTATGATCAAAGGTGAGTATCACATGGAATACATGTACCCGTCATTAAGCAAATATCAAGTTTCTGTAAACTGTTCTTTCACCTCGATAACTGATTTTGTTGTTGATAGACAAATAAGGCCTCCTCTACTGATAACTGAGCTAGGTGACCCATAAGAAGTCAGTTTTTATCCCCACAGCATAAGGCAGCATGACAGCTTGGTGTCAAGCTCAACGTCACTGGAATTTGAGGTCATGAAGGGTCTGTCCAAAGGTCGGAAGAAAGTTGGTTTCTTTTGTTTATCACTGATGACCAAGTTCATGTTTGGTGCTGCAGAAATACTGCATATGCACAGTTTATATGGAATATCTTGGAGCAGGGACCGTTTGGCCTTGTTTCATTGATGGTGTGAGGGGGCCTCTCACATGACCGTATGCTAGACCTTGTGACGATCACACAAAATCTGAATGGACAACAGTACATAAGAGCATGATCACTGACATCCTGGACATGGTTGTAATACCGCATTTTGTTGACCAGCCTTCATGGACAACAATGGTAGGCCACATCGTGCACATAACGTTTGCGATTTCTTACGTCAAAAGGCATTAGCAACTCTACCTTGGCCCACCGGAAGTCCACACCTCAATCCCATAGAGCATGTTTGGGACATGGGTCACAGAATATGCCAAAGAGATCATCCAGTATATAATCTTGACGTATTGGAACAAGCCGTCCAACAAGAATGGAACGCAATACCTCAATGTCTGATACAGTCAGTGAGGAGTAGGGTCAGGGATGTTATTCCAGTTGCTGGAGGCTACACCAGATATTGACAATGTGTTAGTAACTGATACTTATGTGATTTCTTGAGGATTGTTTGCCCAAATCATGAAAATGACTGCACTTGTTAATGTCATACAATCATAGTTATAAGCACTACCAAATCACTCCATTTATTGCATTTAGATTTCCCATTTAATTATTCCTTGAGGGTCAATTTATCCGGATAGTACGTTAAATTGAGGTTTGAATAAGTTCCTTTGATATGGGTAATTGTAACATATATATACAAAATATTGGGTGTTGCAATACTTTTCCACGGGCGTAGTTCAAAAGAATTTCAGTCAGGGGAAAAGGTTTAATCTTTTGTCTGGGGCAGTAAAATTCTTGTAATTAATCATATATTTCATTTTTTAATTGCTGACCTGCTTAATGAACCTTTCTTGTTAACAGAGCAGCATTTTCACACAATACCATGTACGGTACCTTTTTTTTCAGGAGTTTCAAATGAAGATGGAGAGTTTACAACAGAGACGGGAGGAGTTAGAGAAAAAGGAGTACCAATTAAAAGAGTCTTTGTTGAAATTTGACAAATTTCTGAAGGTCAGTATCGATAATATTTTTTGCAAAAGGTTGAATGCTTGTGGTATTATACATTGGAGCAATTAGGTACTACCAAAAACACTATTTTTACATTTATTACAACTAACTAATATGACGGAAAAGATTGAAAACCAGTACTATTGTAAATGGGGAAAGTATTAATGATTATTGATGTGAAAATAGTGTCATCTATAAGTATATCTTCCATAAACTTTGGTGATGAAAGAAAGTTTTAATTTTCACTCATAATACACAAAGATACCTCTTCATTTATGGGCTGCTTGTAAATGTGTAATGGTCAGAACACTGTTTGTGTTAGTAAACAATGCATACATGTGTCACCACTGTCCAGTGACGTGAAATACCTGGGCTCAAGGTTACTTCCCTCATGTGTAGTGATAATCTGGTCTGTATGATCTATATCAATAGCCAGATCTAATTACCACAAACAAAATTTGGATGCAGCTTTTTTATACATGATGCACATGTATTGGTTTAACAAAATCAAGGGAGGTTATGTCATGTGTGTTTCAGTGTCTGTGTCTCCTCAGAAACTGATTTACCAATGATGCTGGGACTTCATATGTTCGTTCCCACAAACAGTGAAATCCCAATGTGTTCAAGAAGTTCAAATCTGACTTTCATTTTGGTCCCCACAATACATGCGTAGATGGTCACCCAGTGGGGCTCCACATTTATGTTCCACAAGCAGCTTTGTAAATGTATTCTCCTCAGAAATATCCAGACTGAGGGAACTGAAAGCCAGATTGTATATTTCACCTTATGATGCAGTCATATTTTGTTGAAATCTTTAGATATTATGGTTAGGTTTTAGCCTTCAGACTTTATGCAGAAGACAACAACTTTTTTCTTTGTCAACATTATAAACTCAGGGGTGGAAATAACCCATTGCCCGACGCCCCAGTCAAGTGTTTTTTTTCTGTCAGGCAAGCAAATTTGTATATCACACTGTACCGGTGTCCAGTTGACTTTCCAATGTTAATAATGTTGTTAATTTAAAAAATCAACAAGAAAATCAGCCAGTATAGTGGAAAAATGATCAGGGCAAGTGTTTTTACATGTGCCACTGTACTGGAGTACACTAGCAATTTTAAAGTTATTTCCACCCCTGAAACTGTTAACTACATATCCAGTTTGCAGTGTGACTATGGTGTGTGTGTTTGAGAAAAGTTACTGTCTATCTACACTCACAGTGTGATCATCCTCAACTTCATGTCCAAACAGGAAAACGATTCAAAACGAGCTCGTGCTGTAAAAAAGGCAAATGATGAAAGGGACATGAAGAAACAGAAAGATAAAGAAATAGAGCGGTGAGACTCACTATTTGTTTCTTATGACAATGTCATGGGATGTGATTTTTTTAGGTGTTTGAAAAACTGCAGCAGGGTTACAGTAGTTACAGGTTTCTAGGGACAAGAATCGAAAAGTTGAAAGACAGTTGCAAATGTAGTGTTTTATCAAGTTTCTAGTCACTATAATATATGATTTCGAACTTTTATTAGACATAGTTTCAGCTCAAGAGTATTCAACATATGTACTCAAACTTTAGCACAATAGTAGGACTGATATTTGTTTATAACATTAAGATGTGCATTTTAAAATTGTTAGAATTCTTAAAATCAGCTTTCATATGTAGCAACTCAGTGGGTCTTGTAACTGATTTGTTTGTGGCAGTAAACTGAACCCACACGATACAAGCCCTCAGCCATTTGCATGATGTAAAACTTTATAACAATTTATACTCTTAAATAACACAGAAGGAGCTGATTGGGTTCAATTTATTGATACATTGAAAGTACAGACATTTTGATGATAGCTTTAACAAATGCTGAGACAAATTATTCAAATTGATAGGATTTTTTCCACTATTGATATTGTTGTTAAACTTCCATTTTCACGCATCAGAAATGTTGGAATGTGGTGACTTCGATGTAACCATGGCATTGTTCTTAAAAATGACTGAAACATTATAGATCTTCAGAATAGCCACACCTTCTGGCAGAGGGATGGGGTTTTGGTCCTGTGTCAAGTGATCAAAGAGAGAGGGAATTTATAACGGGCTGTAACAGAAAATGTATATTCATATAATAAGTGTTCTAATCTATATGATATAAACTTTCTGTAATATTGCTCCGACAGAAGGAGTGAAATTGCAGTACAATGTGTGTGTCTGTGCAGGTTAAAGGAAGACACATCGGTGGTGGCCACAGACAAGAACAAGCTGCAACGGAAGCTAGAGAGGTACACCATCTACCACAAGTTCATGGAGAAGGTGCTGGAAGCAGGAGAGGAGTTCCATGAGATGCGGGACATCATTGCACGGCATGACACACTCACTGCCACACATGAGGTAACTCTTTCATCACCAATTAATATACATTTTGGAGATAAACATACTGTGTTGGAAAATCAGAGGTATATAAAACCAATCACAATCCAGTATTTACTGAAGTCATGGTAGAATTGTGAGTACTCATAATTTTGTGTTAATGAAACTGTGAACTCATTTGATTGCAACTGAACTTGTTGAAGAAAATATGCTTCATGTAGCAGATACAACCATGAGTGTTTGTGTGTAGGACCTGCTGGAACGGGAACAGAAAAACCAGGAGGTGATAGAGAAGCAGAGGCAGACACTGCTCAAGTACATGGAGGTAGGACATTCTGTCAGACACTTCTCAGCTACATGGAGGTAGGTTGTTCTGTCAGACACTTATCAGCTACAAGGAGGTAGGAAATTCTGTCAGACACTTCTCAGCTACATGGAGGCAGGACATTCTGTCAGACACTTCTCAGCTACATGGAGGTAGGTTGTTCTGTCAGACACTTATCAGCTACAAGGAGGTAGGACATTCTGTCAGACACTTCTCAGCTACATGGAGGCAGGACATTCTGTCAGACACTTCTCAGCTACATGGAGGTAGGTTGTTCTGTCAGACACTTATCAGCTACAAGGAGGTAGGACATTCTGTCAGACACTTCTCAGCTACATGGAGGTAGGACATTCTGTCAGACACTGCTCAACTACATGGAGGTAGGATATTCTGTCAGACACTTCTCAGCTACATGGAGGTATGATATTTTGTCAGACACTGCTCAACTACATGGAGGTGGGACATTCTGTCAGACACTTCTCAGCTACATGGAGGTAGGATATTCTGTCAGACACTGCTCAACTACATGGAGGTAGGACATTCTGTCAGACACTTCTCAGCTACATGGAGGTAGGACATTCTGTCAGACACTGCTCAACTACATGGAGGTAGGATATTCTGTCAGACACTTCTCAGCTACATGGAGGTATGATATTTTGTCAGACACTGCTCAACTACATGGAGGTAGGACATTCTGTCAGACACTTCTCAGCTACATGGAGGTAGGATATTCTGTCAGACACTGCTCAACTACATGGAGGTAGGATATTCTGTCAGACACTTCTCAGCTACATGGAGGTATGGTATTTTGTCAAACACCTGTCCTTCAGATGTATGTCAATTACGTAAATACTGCAACAAGGTCCAGTATTGAATGTCACACTTCTCATGACACGTTCCATTTACACAGTTAGTCTAATTGTGATTACTGGATAACAACTGAGCTTAAAATCATCTGCTTTCCCATTGAATAACCAGAAATATGCAGGTAGTCATCCTGTAGTATCTGAATCGGGCTATCCAGCTTCCACTAGTTCCAGCTAGTGCACAGGTAACTGGGCAGGACCGTTGTTACCTGCAGTCTGGCCATTACCATTGTGACTGATTGTTGCAGGAGAAGGACAACGAGATCCTGGGCTACAATAACCAGCTGTCTGGACTCCAGACACGGCTGGATAAAGCACAGAGTGCTGCAGTCAAATGGGAGTCAAAGTGGACACACATCAAGAACACTGCTGCCACCAAGACACTACTACTTGGCAGAATTAAGATGTAAGTGTAGACTAGAATCTCTGTTGCCTTCATATTCTCACTGAGTTTGTCTCACCTTATACAACTTAGGATGTCTGCTCGTCTGAATTAAGAACTTTATGGATATCATTGCACAGTGATTTCAAAATTAGATTGCAAAGATTAACCAAGAAACCTATTCCTACATAACTTCATTGTGAAACTGACAGTGTTATAATTATTACAACTTATTATATTTCATGAGTGTGATGTTTAGATACAGATTCTTGTACCATTGTCAAACAGGACAACAGTACAAGAGTCTGTATCAAAACGTTGTATCATGAAATCAAACAAGTTGTTATGCATACAGTTTGTGTATCTTGTACTTCCCAACTTCTAAAATGCTACTCAAAGAAGTTCCACAGTGTTATGTCAGTCAAGAATACTCAGATTTCGGTTACTGTTGAATGTCCTGTAACACAGGTCTCTGCTCTCAGCATAATGGTGTTGGTAGCTGGCAAGATTTTGATGTTTTTGGTTAGGTATTCAATCTGTAATTGACAATAAGATATGGACCAAGTCAGGTCTTAAAAGACCTTGAGCGGCCCCAGGGGCGCTGCTATGTAGGTACAGCCAGTCTTCTAGAAACTGTTCCATCCTGAAACTGCTCAAACGATAAAGTCTGCCATGTTGTCAACAACAACCAAGGGAGGTTGCTTTAAATGAGCCTTTCTGTTACAATCTTGTCATGGCAGCATTCAACATTTTGTTTCCGTCATTTGTTGCCACTGACAATTACTTACAATCACTACCGCCACAGAACCATAGTAATACTTTAATTCTTTCTGACTGTATTACTCTGTCTTCATGGTACATTGTTCTGATGATATGTCCATTGCTATGTTGTCAGGGCAACACACAACTTGTACCAGCTAGTAAAGAGACACCAGAAGCAGTCTGCCCAGGTTGAGGACACTGCGGAGCAGTTATCCCAGGTAACACACTACAGCTGGCCAGTCACATGGAAAGCTTCCTCTACACGTCTTGTCTTTATTCTCACTTTCATTTATCACAACTTTCTGTCAAACATCAAGCCTTGTACATGCATTTTGTTCCAAGAAAAATGAATGTTAGCAAAGCCATTAGTCTGAAGATCAGGATAAGAGAGACAGGATTTCAAGCCAGTTCAGAAAATGACTGTATATTAAGAGTTATTTGTTTGAGCCCCTTGGTTGTGTCATAAGCTGTTCTATTTGTCTACACTGCCTTGTGGTGAGTGGTACAAAATGTTCAGAAGTGCTTTCTGGATGTAACTGGCCGACTGAAGGTACTACTAGTCCTATGGTACCAGAGACTATTGTGAACACACCACCAACAAGGAGACAAGCCAGAGAAAAGTTTTACTATTAAACATGACAATTTTTGGACAGACACATCCTTTTCATACAGTAAATGGAGACACATGCTGAAATCAATGTAGACACTGCTAGACAGTTGTACCATATATAACCCAGATGTGTTCTGAACACAGGGCTGTAGACACTGCTAGACAGTTGTACCATATATAACCCAGATGTGTTCTGAACACAGGGCTGTAGACACTGCTAGACAGTTGTATCATATATAACCCAGATGTGTTCTGAGTGGCTCCATGTGTTTGTTATCATTTAGGATATAAATTTTCATCTAAATATGAACATCATGTGTGTATACATGTTGTCATTCAAGTAAAATCAATGTATGATAAAGAAATAATGTTTTATTAATGGTACAGAAATAGGCTTTGTAATTCTTTATTCTAAAACTTGCAATTGTTTGAAATAACTCAGTTATTGTTTGTATAATAATATTGTACATTTCACTAATCACTCACATTTGTTTTCTATTTCAGTTAGTGAGTTGTTATTTCACTGACTTTGAGTTTATTTCAGATCACTAATCACTTATGTTTCTCTAACCTTCCTTTCAGTATATTTTCAAACATCACTAAACAACTTCTTCACATGTAACCATCTGTAGTGTTTTCTTGGCAAAAAATCTCATTACTCATTTCAACCATGTATGTACATTTGGGTTTTTTTCAAAATCAAAATGAGGACTGTCCTGATATGTATCCTGATAGGAATGTTAAGGCCTCAATACAGTTGCCAAGAAAACCCTCAGGCTCCAGCCACTTGCCCTTCACATAGACTCTCCTCCATCACCTATCACCCAAACTCTCTGTCCACTCTACTAACAGCACTCTGAGGACATATAACAGTCACAGCAACTAACTAGTTCACACAGTTACTACTATAGCACTACCACGTTACCTTTTAAACACTTGCTCAGTCATTTTGAAATTCAAATCCAAATTTTTAACAGGAATGTTTTACTAATTTACTTGATATAGTAAATATATGAGTCATTTTATATTTAATTGGCACTTGGCACATGCCAGTAGTATGACAAACATGTTTAGCAACAAAGTCACTGTGGTCAGTCGACACGTGTTGGTTATAACCTGCACAAGACCTGCAGGAGCTTCATACTGATCTTCTGACCACTGGTCATCTCACCTGTGATTCCTCATGTCATGCTGACATCCACATATTCTGATATCAGCATATTCTCATGTGAGTGGTTAAAAAGTGTTTGTAAACTCTTTCATGTGCATGAACCCATGTTCAAGTCATATTCATATCAATCAGTTCTGCTGTAAGTCTTTGTCGACCTGTAGTTGGTCACTGTGTCCTGTCATGCTGATATAAGTCTGTGCTGCTGTGAGTGGCTCTACAGTGTTTAGTCTTTGTCCACCTGTAGTTGGCCACTGTGTCCTGTCATGCTGATATCAGCCTGTGCTGCTGTGAGTGGCTCTACAGTGTTTAGTCTTTGTCCACCTGTAGTTGGCTGTGTCCTGTGTGATATCAGCTGTCATGCTGATATCAGCCTGTGCTGCTGTGCTGCTGTGAGTGGCTCTACAGTGTTTAGTCTTTGTCCACCTGTAGTTGGTCACTGTGTCCTGTCATGCTGATATCAGTCTGTGCTGCTGTGAGTGGCTCTACAGTGTTTAGTCTTTGTCCACCTGTAGTTGGCCACTGTGTCCTGTCATGCTGATATCAGCCTGTGCTGCTGTGAGTGGCTCTACAGTGTTTAGTCTTTGTCCACCTGTGGTTGGTCACTGTGTCCTGTCATGCTGATATCAGCCTGTGCTGCTGTGAGTGGCTCTACAGTGTTTAGTCTTTGTCCACCTGTAGTTGGCCACTGTGTCCTGTCATGCTGATATCAGTCTGTGCTGCTGTGAGTGGCTGTACAGTGTTTAGTCTTTGTCCACCTGTAGTTGGCCACTGTGTCCTGTCATGCTGATATCAGTCTGTGCTGCTGTGAGTGGCTCTAAAGTGTTTAGTCTTTGTCCACCTGTGGTTGGCCACTGTGTCCTGTCATACTGATATCATCCTGTGCTGCTGTGAGTGGCTCTACAGTGTTTAGTCTTTGTCCACCTGTAGTTGGTCACTGTGTCCTGTCATGCTGATATCAGTCTGTGCTGCTGTGAGTGGCTCTACAGTGTTTAGTCTTTCTCAACTTGTGGTTGGTCACTGTGTCCTGTCATGCTGATATCAGTCTGTGCTGCTGTGAGTGGCTCTACAGTGTTTAGTCTTTGTAGCTCCTCATCACTTCCGTGAAATATCTTTTTTATTAAACTCATGAAAGATTTAGGTTTAGATCTCTGTAACATGAAGCAGATAACAGTACCATGAAGTAGATCACTGTAACATGAAGTAGATCACTGTAACATGAAGTAGATCACTGCAACATGAAGTAGATCACTGTAACATGAAGTAGATCACTGTAACATGAAGTAGATCACAGCAACATGAAGTAGATCACTGCAACATGAAGTAGATCACTATACCATGAAGTAGATCACTGCAACATGAAGTAGATCACTGTAACATGAAGTAGATCACTATACCATGAAGTAGATCACTGTAACATGAAGTAGATCACTGCAACATGAAGTAGATCACTATACCATGAAGTAGATCACTGTAACATGAAGTAGATCACTATACCATGAAGTAGATCACTGTAACATGAAGTAGATCACTGTAACATGACGTAGATCACTGCAACATGAAGTAGATCACTGTAACATGAAGTAGATCACTATACCATGAAGTAGATCACTGTAACATGAAGTAGATCACTGTAACATGAAGTAGATCACTGTAACATGAAGTAGATCACTATACCATGAAGTAGATCACTGTAACATGAAGTAGATCACTGTAACATGAAGTAGATCACTGCAACATGAAGTAGATCACTGTAACATGAAGTAGATCACTGTAACATGAAGTAGATCACTGTAACATGAAGTAGATCACTGCGACATGAAGTAGATCACTGCAACATGAAGTAGATCACTGTAACATGAAGTAGATCACTGTAACATGAAGTAGATCACTGCAACATGAAGTAGATCACTATACCATGAAGTAGATCACTGTAACATGAAGTAGATCACTGTAACTTGAAGTAGATTACTGCAGCATGAAGTAAATCACTATACCATGAAGTAGATCACTGCAACATGAAGTAGATCACTGCAACATGAAGTAGATCACTGTAACATGAAGTAGATCACTGCGACATGAAGTAGATCACTGTAACATGAAGTAGATCACTGCAACATGAAGTAGATCACTGTAACATGAAGTAGATCACTGTAACATGAAGTAGATCACTGCAACATGAAGTAGATCACTATACCATGAAGTAGATTACTGCAGCATGAAGTAGATCACTATACCATGAAGTAGATCACTGCAACATGAAGTAGATCACTATACCATGAAGTAGATCACTGTAACATGAAGTAGATCACTGTAACATGAAGTAGATCACTGTAACATGAAGTAGATCACTGTAACATGAAGTAGATCACTGCGACATGAAGTAGATCACTGCAACATGAAGTAGATCATTGTAACATGACGTAGATCACTGTAACATTAAGTAGATCACATGAAGTGGATCACTGTAACATGAAGTAGACCACTGCAACATGAAGTAGACCACTGTAACATACGAAGTAGATCACTGTAACATGAAGTAGACCACTGCAACATGAAGTAGATCACTGTAACATGAAGTAGATCACTGAAACATGAAGTAGATCATTGTAACATGAAGTAGATCACTGTAACATGAAGTAGATCACTGTAACACGAAGTATATCACTGCAACATGAAGTAGATCACTGCAACACGAAGTAGATCACTCATAAGACAAAGTAGCGCCATGTCCACCAATGTAACATAATGACTGTTATGGTAACATGACTGACAACCCAGTCTAGCATCATATAGGGCCCATTAACCCTCATCTATGCATCACATTACTAAACACTATATGTCGGGCACGTGGTTGTCCTATCTAGGCTAGCTAGGAGGGAGACACAGATCTATGTGGCTGCTTGTGGCGGGGCCAACCTGTCCAGTCCATGCTCGTGTCAGGTACGTTTGTACGTGTGAGTTTGTACATAAACTGTTCCGCTGGTTACATGTTTATGTGTGTTGTGCCACTTGATGTGTATATACTGCGCCTTTGTGGACAGGCGATGACATTCAATTACTGTTATATATAATATATCTTGTGCAAAAATTATTTGGCATGTAAATATCATAGATATATTTCTTTTCTGTTACATGTAATGGCAAAGTAATTTTTGTCAAGGATTCCTTTAGGTATTTGTCATTATTTATTGATAGATCCTTTGTGAATTTTTTGGGGGTCAATGTAAAATAAGATTACAGAAGTTTGAAGTCAAAGATCAAAGTTTGAGAGTGCACTGTGGGGAGAGACAGGGTGCTGTCCTGTATTGTGCATTATCTGACATAATGTTAAACATTTGTAAGGGATAACAATAATATTTAAACCTGTCAGACATCATCATCATGCAGAACAAATATTTAGTATTTGCTCTGTCAACTTTTGTACACAAGTTCAGTTTTTGTGATCACTGCCTATTTATATGTTAGGTCTAATGAAATTCCTTAGAAGTAGTAACGCATTGATAAATGTCATGAGACCCTACATGAGATACTACAAATTCAGCTGTGAGAGTAAATGATTGTGTGTGTCATGTGTTGCAGATCCAGATGTTTTTGGAGGACCTCACAGACATTGTGCTGGAGCTGAAGAAAGGGGACACCACCCACACGTCCATCTTTGCACCATCATCTAGTTAACTGGTTGACCTGGACACAGCCTCTGTACAGACCTGGCCACTGCCACTCAGATGACAAACTACCCCATCATCAAGCATATAGCTAAACGTTCAAACATTCTCATGTCTTCCAGCATTACTTTCAAGAACATGATTAAATCTCTCAGAAATAACCCTCTGACTAAATAGAAAACAATCTATCCTTTAGAACTGGTTACTATTACCTGAATGACAAAATGTTGAGAAGGCTTTGACAGTGTTTGAAAGTTTGATTAATCTTTGTTTCCTTACTGAAGAAATATCAGCAGAATTATTTTTGTACCCAGGTACACCAGATCATGACTTATATCCTGCATGTAACAGGAGTCACATGGCTCTCGACTTCCGTCTCTCAATGCAACACATCTGCTGGTATGGAAACCCAGGTCCTTGCAATACTGATGTTCTGAACACAGAGACAATCAAACAACCCTGTTTTTGTTTCATTAATTACTCTGCAGGTCACCGTGTAGTGATGGCAGTCACATGACCCACACAGCCCTACAGTTCAGCATCTGTGATCACTGGGATTATGATCACCTGTTTAAGATGATTGTTCATTTCCCTGCCTTTATGTATGTGTCACCATATCTCCCCAGATCCAAGTGTTCCTTCAAGATCTGAACCAGATTACCGCCGAGATCCGCCCAGATGGACCTGTCTGGTGCGGCCCATCATCCCTCCGTCCTCCAGCTGAAGCACCTCCTTCTTGTAGTGTCCACCTCATTGTCAGCAAATATTATGTAAACAATCAACAGTTGGGAGCTGCATACTTTAATGTGGTACTGTTAAAAGAGGAAATTACTGTTGACATAAATGTACTAATTAAAAAGGTATTCAGGACAAACTGAAATAGATTTATTAATTTTCATTAATTTCTCATTGGGCATTTTACAGGTAAGGCATTCTTTAATGGAAACATGAGCATTTATTATTCGGAAGTAATTCTTATCTTTACTTTAGGATTATAATTGGGTTTTTCTTCCTGCTTATGAAGGGTTCTAACGGTACACATCAATGGGTCTCTTGTCAGTTTCACTTCTCACAATATTGCCTGTTCAACAACTGAGGCTGTTTAAGTATCATCTTTATATGTTTGCAATATTTCCATAATTTGCAATTATATGATGAAGTACATGCATGCCAGCTTCACCTGTCCAAGAACCATTGTTACACACAACTGACTGATGTTTTGTTTGTATATTTGAATTCAAGTTTTGTATGAATATGTATTAATATATTGTTGTACATAAACCATTTGAAGACTATAAGACTTTTCTAAACTTTTAGTGAAATGAGGTGTTACATAAAACAACATTAGTAACTTACATGTGATCAGAATAGGTGTGACAGGATCCTGCTGCAGTTGGTTTGAAACCCAGCTGCACCCTCATTATGATCCTTGGTTTCTACACACCATGCTGGTGATTGTGTCATTAACCACACCAGTGAATCTGTATAACCTGCATCAACATTTAACTGGCCGTTTTCAAGGCTGTAACTATGTGTCTGACAAACAGTGACTGAGAGAGCAGAAACTCTCAGGGTGTTATGAGGACACACACCTGGGAGAGCATCATCACTCAAGGTGTTGTATAAGAACACACACCTGGGAGAGCATTAAATCTCAGGGTGTTATATGAACACACACCTGGGAGAGCATTAACACTCAGGGTGTTATAAGGACACACAGCTGGGAGAACAACACTCAGGGTGTTATAAGGACACACAAGCTGGGAGAGCATCATCACTCAGGGTGTTATAAGGACACACACCTGGGAGAGCATCATCACTCAGGGTGTTATAAGGACACACACCTGGGAGAGCATCAACACTCAGGGTGTTGTATAAGGACACACAGCTGGGAGAGCATCAACACTCAGGGTGTTGTATAAGGGACACACACCTGGGAGAGCATCATCACTCAGGGTGTTATAAGGACACACAACTGGGAGAGCATCATCACTCTCAGGGTGTAATAAGGACACACACCTGGGAGAGCATCAACACTCAGGGTGTAATAAGGACACACA